CCCACCACTGTCCCACTGTCCCCACTGTTCCCACCATTGTCCTCACCATTGTCCCGACCACTACCGTCCCCACCACTGTCCCACTGTCCCCACCACTGTCCCGCTGTCCCCTCACCACTGTCCCCACCACCACCGTCCCCACCACTGTCCGCACCCCCCCTCCGGTTTTCGAGGGGGGGGGGGGTTCGAACCGGTAGTGATCCCCCCTGGTTTTCGAGTTCGAGGGGGGGGGGGGTTCGAACCGGTAGTGACCCCTCCGGCCCCTTCAATGATGAACTGGGGGGCGGGGAGGGGTTTCGAACCGGTAGTGTACCCCCCCCGCAGTTTTCCGAGGGGGGGGGGGGGTGGGGTTCGAACTGGTAGTGTCCCCCCCCCGGTTTTCCGCCAGCAGCGGTAGAACACGCTCTTTCATATCTCAAAGTCGGTGTCGTCCAACATGAGCTACTCGGAATCGCCGGAGAGTGTGGCAAAATTTGGCTTGCCAGCGAGCACGCCCCAGATACTGGTACCCGCCCGGCGGCTTGGCAGAACAAGCTGTACACCATGTTTGCGCATGTACCCACCAGGGACTGGCGTAACATGTGTTGCTGGTCCAACTCCGCCTTCGCAGCATTGGCAACGGTCTGGCAGTGCACGACGATCCACGCATCCACGCACGGGCATCCTCAAGGTTGTCGAAATATGTGTCCCAGCGCTTCTCGAGAATCTGGACCTGCTGCAACGCCTCTGCCGCCTGCATCTTGAACGGCTCTTGGCAGCTGGTCCTTTCTCGGCGTCCTGCTTCTGCGTGGGCCATCCATACCGTGCACTGGGCCTGTGCGGTGGCGTCGCGAATGTTTGGGCCATGGACAGCAGATGATCAATCACACCGTGATATTGAACAGTATGCTGGGAAGGGCCTCCTAGGAGGCGACATGAAGACAAACGCTGCCAGGGTTTCTTGTAAACGTGCGGCACGAGGGCGAACGACTCATCTTCTGTTTCGAAACGCGGACTGTCGCAATGATTGCGCCATGTTTTCCTCCATTTGCGCGAGTTTGGAAGAAGAGAAAGGAAAGCTGAGGGGAGTGAGGCGTACGGAGCCAAACGTGCCCCGACCGCGTAGTCGATAAGCGTTGCGCAGCTGATTGGGCACAATAGCAAAAAAAAATAGCGACGGTGGCCCCGGGCTCGGGCTGGAGAAGGGAAGAAGAGGAGGAGACAAGAAAAAACACCAAGAAAGAGGAAGGAAGGACATCTGCACAAACGGAGCCAAAGCTCAGCGCCAAACCGCGGCGGCTGCTGTGGATTACACCCTACAGCATATACGCCAGTCGGTCTCGAGCTACGCTTCCCTTGGGATTCGAACGAAAGCCTGTGCGACAGGTGTTGTGCGCCGCAGAACCCTCAAGAGGATCCAGGGAACTGCGGAGGAGAGAGGAAGGAGGCAACGAAAAAGAGGAGGATGAGAGGAGGGGGTCGAGCAGGCGCCCGATAAGCCAAAGACATACTAAAACGGATGCTAGAATCAGAACCCAAACGTGGCGAACGTCCAAAGCCACGACGCACGCAACTTTAACAGCATGAAGAGGTAGAAGACGCAAAAGAGCATGATGGTCACGACAAGGGAGAAAAAAGGCTCCAACGGGTGGAGACAGTACGCCGGAGCGGCGAGTCCCTGCCAGCCGCCTATGTACGATTGAATCCGTGCGTCGCTCGCGACTGTCACTCGACCATGCCCGGCGGCATTGATGGCCAGGAACGTCGCAAAAAGACGCAGACCTCGAAGCACCAGCTGTGAAACATCAGTCAGACGCAAGAGATCCTCGAGCCCGTCCTCGGCGGGAGCCAAAGCCAGTCGGAGTCGGCGACCAGCCGGCCGCGCAAACACCAGACAGCTGGCATGGTGCTGCATGGGAGCCCCGGCCTGCTTGGCAGCCAGAAGCTGCAGTGCGCCGTGCGGAGGCTGGGGACGGTGCAGGTCCAACCGCCCAGCGCTGCCTCGAGCGTAGCTGCCCCAACGCACGGTGGACCCACGGGGCCAAGACGCCGGAGTACATAGTCAAGACGCTGGACACGACGGCCAGGCAGAACAGGAATGCACCACCGATCCAGCCGACGGCGCAAATGACGGATGGCCTTCAGACACGGCCGGTCTCCTCAGGAGCTGGCCTCATGCCTCTGCCACCGCCCTTTCGGAAGCGGGTTGGGCGATCAGCCCTGCAGGAAACGGTCCACGCTCATGTGCTCGGCGCCAGCCAAGTTGGTCAGCTGCTGCTGCGCCCTCTGGAGGATAACGAAGAAATTGCCAGACAGCCACGGGAACCACGCCGCGGTCCAATCCAGGAACTGCTCGCGGGCCTGCTTCGCGGACAGGCGGCGCAATCGATGGCGAACTCGGAGCCCCCAAAAGCCGGCATCTTCCCCATCGGTGGGCCCGACACTTGGCCCTAGGAGCCGCGGCCTCCATGCTCGGCATGTCTTCGGGGAAGACGAGGCCGCGCAGATTCTGAGCGCGGGGCGGAGGAGTCTCGAAGGGAGGGCTCCTCCACTGTCCCGCACGCTATCGTCGTCGTCATCATCGTCATCGTTATCAGCAGCAGCAGCAGCATCATCACCATCATCAGCATCATCATCATCATCATCATCAGCATCATCAGCATCATCAGCATCATCATCATCACCATCATCATCATCATCATCATCATCATCATCATCATCATCCTCATCATCATCAGCAGCATCATCATCATCATCATCATCATCAGAATCATCATCATCATCATCAGCAGCAGCATAGTGGTCAGTCATCACCACCACCACCACCACCACCATCATCATCATCATCATCGTCATCATCATCATCATACTCATCATCCTCATCATCATCAGCATCATCATCATCATCAGCATGATCAACAGTGTCATCATCATCATCAGCATCATCATCAGCAGCATCATCATCATAATCAGCATCATCACCAGCATCATCCCCATAAACAACAACAGCAGCAGCATCATCATCACCATCATCCGAACCAACATCATTAGCAGATACATCATCCCCTTCATCATCACCACCTTCATCATCATCAGCAGCAGCATCATCATCAGCATCACATAATGATCAACAACAGCATCATCAGCATCAAATATAACATCATCAACAGCATCACCAGGATCAGCATCATTACTACTATCATCATCATCCTCATCTCCTCGTCGTAATCATCTGCATCGCCGCTATCAGCATCCCTATCATCATCACCATCATCATCATCACCAGCATCAGCATCATCAGCATCATCATCGTCATCATCATCATCATTATCATCCTCATCCTCACAAACAGCAGCAGTAGCAAAATTAACTCCATCATCCTAACCGAGGTCATCAAACTGTTCCTTAGCCTCCTCCTTACCGTCACCACCAACACCGTTCTCAACATCCCAATTCGTACTAGCATCATCATCAGTATCATCACCATCATCAGCAGCAGCAGAATCATCGTCATCAGCATCATCATCATCAACATCGTCATCATCATCATCACCATCATCATCATCATCATCATCATCATCATCATCATCATCATCATCATCATCATCATCATCATCATCATCATCATCCCTCGTGTTCATCCTCTTGCCCCTCCCCCCCTCTTTCTCCGCCTCCTCTTCCGCTCTTCCTCCCTCCCCCCCTTCACTCCCCCCTCCCTTCCCTCCCCTGCCAACACCCCACCGCCGCAGTGCCACACCCCTCCACACCCCTGCGGCAGCACCCCGCCGCGCCGCGCGCAGCGCCCCGTGGGGGGGGGCCCCGGTCTTGGCCGCCGCCGAGAGCTCCCGGCCGTCGAAGACCTGCTGCCGTGGACGGACGACTGGACGACGGTGACTTGCCGACGGCGCTGCCGCCGACGGCGTTGAGGACAACGTCGGCGGCAGGGAGACGCTGACGGCGGCGACGTGGGCGACGCCGCCGAC